CTATTGCACCAAATCAGGTTCTCATCACAGAGGAATGGTGTTAATGAGTCTGGTTTCCGAGTATAGGGGAAGCTTAACAAACTTTTGGTTAAAGAAATCAGAGCTGGTGGTAACAAGTATTGGAATAGCTGACTGATCACTTTCATGAGATGTTGTTCAGGGGATTTAGAGCAAAAGTTTCGGATCGTATGAATGAGGAGCTGATGTCTCTTTAGAGTGTTCTTCCCTCTATGTTGGCTCCTAACTTGATCTTAATTATGGTATTTGGTGGTCTCAAAGTAATTCTTAGTTAGAAGTAGGAAATTTTTGATGTACATAAGGCTTGGCCTTGCCTTAAGTGATGGATTGATGTAATGAACTCTTATTCAATATAATATAATTCAATATATATGGTCACCAAGGAAACAAATTTAGGAATAAATTTAGTGGACGCAAACATAAGATACTGATTTCACTAAGATTTAGATTTCCCAACCTCGATGAAAGTTTTCCTCAAAACAGAACAATGTGCTTAAATTTTTCACCAAAATCAAGGCCTATCTTTATCTGCAAAACACAACACAACTGAAAGTGTTTAGAATATCAACCTTATAACGAAATTACTCCAAACAAAAAGCATTCTTTTCTTTTTCATCTGAATTATATTAGATTGAATAAGAGTTTATTACATCAATCCATCACTTAAGACAAGGCCAAGCCTTATGTGCATCCAAATTTCCTACTTCTAACTAAGAATTACTTTGAGACCACCAAATACCATAATTAAGCCAAAATAGAGAGAAGAAACAATCACTTTGCCTTTGATAATCTAATACTTTTGACAAAACAACCCCATCATGCCATAGCCTAACCAAACTTCTACATTTGTGTACCATTGTTGCCAAAAACCATAAACTCATCAATAAACAACTTATAACCTAATTGGGTTTTAATTGTAATAAACCTTTAAATATTACTTCCACTGATAAATGTAATGAAACNANCCCTATGTATTATTCTCCAACTCTCATTGATTCCTAANCCATAANCTAAACAACTTAATGAAATGTGCTCATGCATATATCAATAAGCTATATAAGCAAAAATTTCAATTTCACATTTTTATTAAAAAGAGTAAAACAGAGATGAAAACTTATTCCATCCAATTTCACATAGTATGCTAACCTTACCCATACAATTAAAAGTTCTTTTCTAAGGACGTATAATGTAAGTTGTCCCATAAACTTATCCAGAGTTGTGGGGGGTCTTTGTTTTGTTCCCCTTGAGGCCTAACTTCAACCAAATTGATAGTGCTTGTAGATGTAGTAACATCTAGAACATTTATAACCACACCGAACTATAAAAAAAAAAATTGACAAACCATTAGAAAAGAGAATTAGAACTAAAAGATAAGTATTAGAAGGAAAAGAGAAAGATTAAAGTTACCAGATTTGCTGCTGCTTGCAAGGTGATATGATCACCCCACTATCCATCGCTACATTTTTAAGTTTTATTTCAATGATATATAAAAATTATGCATATACAAAAATGTGCATATATAAAATGTAATGTACCTTGACATATTTTCAAGGTAGAGACTGGGATCCCTTCAACAGGTTGAATACGTTCTTGGAAATTTTGTCTCAGCTGAAAAACGAAAAAAAAAATAATTAGCAACTTAAACTTTCGTGTCATTAACCAAAAAAAAATAATTAACCAATCACCTCTTCAACAACTATTTCCCCAACTTTGGTGTGCAAGTCTTCAAATCCCAGATATTGGTGAGCAATAGCTCTGAACTGACAATTACCATCTCCGATAATCTCCACCTCATGCCTATTATACTCATTTACAAACCTTTGCCTGATCACATCCCTTTTAGCTTCAGCATCTTTCTCAGCTTGAGCAATCTGAGCATCTCTCTGAGCTTGAGGAATCGGAGGGAAAAACTTTGTCTAGTTCCAAATCTTATCTCCATACCTACTAATCTTCTTGGAATTAACTGCATTCGATTGATCAAATGCTAACAAAACGTCATGCTTAGCCTCTTTCAAAGTCTTCATAGTCCTCCAAAACCCATTGTCGGCTGTTACCGCCATAGTATATTGAGGTTGAGGATTATCTTTAAGCCACTTAGATATAACATATTTCATAAGCGTATCGGCAGCTTGGTCCTTTAACGCTGCACCTTGTGGCCCTGTTTAATAAAACATTGTTTACATGTTTATATGTTTTTTAACAAAGAAAAACAAAAAGGAGAAGTTCATTACTTACTAATGAACTCATTGGCATATAGGATTTCGGCTTTGTTGTCCAGTGCCTTTACCATTTGTTGGGATATAGAATTTTTATATCCAACAATGATTACCATCTTTACAGGTCCTGTATACCCTTCATTTCTTAATTCTTGGATAAATTGTTCATATACTCCTCTGTAGTCATATCCTGTGGGAATTCTACAGTTCTCGACGTCCCACCAAATAATAATCTGATAAAACAAAGAATATAAAAAGTTGTTCCCTATAATCATATAATCAAAATTTACACAAAAATACTAGGATAAAGAAAATGAGCTTACTTTTCTAGCTTTTGTTTCTGCCCTTTTTCTTTTCTTAGACGCTCTTCCTTTTCTAGCTTTTGTTTCTGCCCTTTTTCTTTTTTTAGACGCTCCCCCTTTCATAAATCTCCACTGAATCGTGTTGCTTGGGTATCTCAAAAGAATTCAAACAAAACATTTAGTGTCATCTTTTGAAAGTGGCTTTATCACACGAAATTTAAAAGGCAGAATGTGTATAAAGAGATAACAAACCTTACTGGGCTTCTAAAGCCTCCTCTTGGCAACGAGTCAGAGTGAATCCTATTGCTTGGGTACCTCANAAAAATTCAAACAAAACAAGGCTTTAGTACAAAACAAGGTTGTTCTGGAATATAAAAGTGGCTCTAGGTCCTGGTTTAAAAGCTATATTGTCCAAAGCCAGAGGCAGAATGTGTATAAAGAGACAACACAACAAACCTTGCTAGGCTTCTAAAGCCTCCTCTTGGCAACGGGTCAGAGTGAATCCTATTGCTTGGGTACCTCACAAAAATTCAAACAAAACAAGCTTTAGTACAATCCGCTCATCATTTGTAGTTCAAAGTATGTAAATATTAAGTTATATCCTTAAACCTTCTTCTATCAGACTTCATCTCTACTTTGTTAGAGAATCCTTTACTTGTGTCCTAGAACAAAGTGTATATAAAATTGATTAAATACAAAAAGAGATTCATCCATAAAATATAGATGCCAAGTGCTTCTTCATATCTTGAAGATAATAAGAACAAAACAGATACTCAATGGCCATTTGATGAAATCCTTCCACTATCTCCTGTTACATAGGACCCATTTCCATTTTGGAGATAAATAAGAAAAAGATGTTTAAAATTGCTATCAAAGAACAAGAGGATTCCGACCATCTTAGGTTACCTTCTTCTCCGACAGTTCTTCAAGACCCTTAGCTGATTTCTCGCTAGAACTCACCATAGAGAACAGCCACAGAGCAGCTCGACGAGGCCACCAACCAAATGAAATTTAACCCTAGATGTATTTATAGAAGGACTAATAATTCGATTTGGGCTGGGCCTTGGGTTGTTATTGCTTTGCTCAATATTTAGCATTCTCAATATTTGAAGAGTATCCAATATTTAGAGAGTACCTTATGTTTAATTAAAATTCCAATCTTCCAAAGCAATGCAATCCAAGTATTCACGCCTATAGAAAACTAATCCTTTGCATTCACGCGTATAGAAACAGTCCCAGATGTCAAACTCAGATTGGTATTTAAAGACTATAGTCATTACGTCTCCCCAATGCTCACCTTATGATGTTAAACTAAAACCAAAAAAACTTCAATTTCCAGTTTCCAACCTTCCAAAGCTATGCAATCCAAACCAACATCGATCACTCTCCACATTCACATCACGACATACTAGTGTTCTACCGATAACCTAAAGCGAATACTAATGTTAACACAGAAAGTTAAAAAAAAAAAGTAGTTTCACCAAAGGAAATGAAGGAGCACCTGGCCAAATGCTGATGCAATTTTGGAGTCAAACCATCAGTAGTTTGTGGATAGTCTACACGAGGTGCTTTAACTCAGATTCAGAGGTATTAAGCTCACTTGTTCCCCTTTAAGAGAATACATCGGTATTTTGGTGGTTGCCATAATCGGTATGTGCTCACATAAATTGTGTCCATGTAATTTGTTTCCATGAAAAACTTTTCCTCGCAATCAACCAACTCAATGAGTGGACGATAAACTCCATTAATCCTATACTCTTTGCAAATTCGTCCGCCTCCTACACACG